CCCTCCCTGCAGCAGCCCCTCCCACGCCCCTGGGACGCCTGCGGCAAAGATCCCTGAGCCCTGCGCGGAAGGGGCGTGAGAGGCACAAGCAGAGGAGCGGGCTGACGGCGCAGTTGGAGTAGGCCAGGAGGGTGCAGAGGCTGGAGGCCACGAAGGTCACCGGTGTGTCGGGCAGGCGGCCGGTGGCCGCCACATAGCCCAGCACAGAGCAGGGCCCCCACATCAGCAGGAAAACCAGCAGCACCAGGAGGACGAGCCCTGTGTTCTCGCGGTGCTCCCGGACGCTCTCCCCCGGGGGACCCCGCGGCCGGGTCCGCAGGAGCCAGCCCACGTGGCCAAAGGCGCAGCCCAGGCCCCACGCGCAGGGCAGGAAGGCCAGCGCCCCCAGCAGGGCGAAGTAGCGCGAGGCCCGAGCCGGGCTGAGCAGCAGGAGGCAGGCCTGGGCCCCGGGCGCCCCCACGGCCTGTGGCTCCACGGTCACCCGCTGGAACAGCCAGTTGGGCAGGGATGCGGTGAGACCCAGGACCCACATGGCCCCACAGAGCAGCAGGCGGGCACCCCGGCTGGCAGGGAGGGCGGCGCCGGGCCAGGCCACAGCCGCGTGGCGCAGAAGGGCCGTGGCCACCATGCTGTAGAAGGTGCAGAACATGGTGGCCGTGTTGATGGCCTGGCTGGCCGTGCAGACCGTGGGGCCCAGCCACCAGTCGTGGCGCAGGAAGCTCAGCAGCTGCACGGGCACCACGCAGCCCAGGAAGAGCAGGTCGGAGAGCGCGACGTTCACCATGAGGCCGTTGGTCAGGGCGAGCAGCGGGCGCGGGGAGCCCGGGCCCCGGCCCAGCACCAGCAGCAGGAGGCCGTTGGCCGGCAGCCCCGCCAGCAGGACCAGCCCGCAGAGCCCCGCCAAGGCCGCTCGGAGCAGGCGCGCGGGGGCCCCCGGGAGCCCCCCAGGGAAGGTGGCGTTGGGCTCCATTCTGTGTCAGGCACACAAGGACAGGGTAGAAATCAGACCCCTGGGCCACCTCCCTGCGCCTGGCCGGCCTCCTCCTCCCACAGCCTCTGCCTGCCGTGCACCCAGATGCGTGCCCGCCCTGGCAGACACCAGCCCCTGCTGCCCTGGCACCACCGCCCCACAGTCCAGCTGCCAACGCCCGGCCACACCCTGACCGCCCCTGGCCCGGGGAGGTTCTGGATGATTCTCTACCTCGGATTCCTCAACAGTACAGAAAAGAGGAAATGAAACAAGCCTGGCCGGGTGGCGCAGCCTGTGATCAGAGGCTCAGGAGGCTGAGGCAGGAGGATCGCGAGTTCAAAGCCAGCCTCAGCAACTTAGCAAGGCCCTGTCTCTAAATAAAATACAAAATAGAGCTGGGGATGTGGCTCAGTGGTTGAGCGCCTCTGGGTTCCCTCCCTGGTACCACACACATAAAATAAATTGATTAAAAAATAAAAGGAGGGCTGGGCTGTAGCTTAGTGGCAGAGTGCTTGCCTAGCATGTGTGAGGCCTGGGTTCAATCCTCAGCACCACATAAAAATAAATAAAATTAAGCCATGCTGTCCATCTACAAGTACAAAAAAAAATAAAAGGAAATAAATCAGATACCAACAATAGATGCATCAAGGACTGAGATTCAGGTAATATTCATTTTGTTGTTAATAATTTCTTCCTAAAATTTCTGCAGGGAGTATACGTGGTCCTATAATAATATTTATTTATTTATTACAAATAATGAAATATATAATTTACTTTTAAACAACACATTTTTATAAATACTATGTTTGTATATCATATATTTAAAATATTTTATAATAAAACACATTTTATTTTTTATAAAAACGAAATCCTGCCCTGACTGCAGAAAAGGCACGCTTAACTTGAAGTTCTGATGAGAGGGCTGTGAGAGGGTCCATAGGCGCCCCCAGAGGTCCCTGAGCTCTTCTGCACATTGAGGCCCACCTGGGGGTTTCAGCAATACTGAAGCCTGGGTCCCACCTCCAGAGATGTGGTGGCTTTGGGTGTTTTGTTTTTTTTTTCCCCCTGCTACTGAGGATTACACCCAGGGGTCTTTAACCACTGAGCCCCATCCCCAGCCCTTTCTATTTTTTATTTAGAGACAGGGTCTTGCTGAATTGCTGAGGCTGGTGTTGAACATTCGATCCTCCTGCCTCAGCCTCCAGAGTAGCTGGGATTACAGGTGTGTGCCACCATGCACCCCCGGGCTTTGGCATTTTTGATAGATCCCAGGTGATTCTAAGACCAGCTTGGGGACCACTGCCCCAAAGTTGTGTGATGGATCCCTGACAGGACAGGGGGAGTTGCCCCAGGCTGTCAACCCCCCCACCCCGTGTCCCACAAGCTGAGGACATGGCTATGTCTCACATTCTAGAGTCATCTGGGGGCTGCCACTATTATCTGCCACCAGCACAAAGACAAGCCAGGACCCTGGCTTTCTCTGGGAAGAATCTTGCCGGTTAGCTCAATGACCATTTCCCGGCCTTTCTTCTGCCCTCGCTGAGGGGCTGAGGGGTCCTGGGAGAGTTTCCCTCCCCTGCAGCCTACACTGGGGGCCAGGGACTGGAGAGGCCCTTCCCTTGGCAGCTCCAAGCCAGGTTTGAGGGGTCCCCTGCAGGAGTGCCCCTACAGAGCCCATCTGAGTTCTGCACAGCCCCCACCTCCCGGCCGCTCAGGAGAGGCTGGAGGGGCCTCTGTGAATTCTGACACCCACACCCACCCGGGGTCCCACACTGTGGTTCAAGGGACTCGGGGTGAGGAAATGAGGGACCAGCCCAGATACCCAAGGGCCTGGATGAATGCTCCAGTCCAGCCACCCTCGGGGTGTTTGTCATTTGTGTTTGTCATTGCTTTTTCCTCTCTTGTTCCTGGTTCAGGTCCTCCAATGACATGGAATAACTGGAGTGTGTGTGCGCGTGTATGTGTGCATGTGTGTGAAAGGCTTGAGGGCCCCAAACTCTGCTCTAAATACCCGCACATTCCTGTAAGAAGCTTTTGACCCCGGGGTCCATCTCATTCCTACAGGAGCCTGGTTTTAAAGCCTGACTCCAGCATTTACTAGCTGTGTGGCTGTGGATGAGTTACTCAGCCTCTCTGTGCATCACTTTCCTCATCTGTGAAATGGGGGTAATAACAGGCCCAATTTCCACAGGGTTGATGCGAAGATTAATTGAGGTAAATGAGTTTGTTGCTTAGAAGGGTGACGGGCACACACCAGGCACTGGGTAAATGACGGCTGCTGTTCCATCCCCGCCACCCCCATACTAAACCCGTCTTCTTTAGTACCCCTGCCCCGCCTCCGTCTGTCCCCTGTACGTCCCTTCTCAGGTCACACCCTAAGCCCAGGCAGCCCAGCCTCCCTCTTGCTTTCTTGGCCTCAGGTTAGAGCCCCGCTTATTCAACAGCTGCCCGAAGCTGACTCTGAAGTCCCCCTGGAGCCCTGCCGCCCGGTCCTCACCCACCTCGGGCAGCTGTGAGTGTCCTGCGTCCTGCTTGATGACTTGTGAGTCCTTGGACACTGAGAGAGGCTGGTGGCCCCTGCCGGCTGTGCTCTGCCCAGAAGGTGGATCCAGCCAGAGAAAGTCAGAGGGGACCCCCCCCCCCAGGCCTGCAGTCCCTCCCCCCCTGGGGAACCCCGCCAGCTGCCTGAGGCCATGGGAGGTGGCCAGGCCCATTCCTGTCCTGGCTCCCCAGGGCTCACACCTTCCCTACTTTCCTCATTAACTCCCTGGTCCACAGGACGGAGAAGTCGGTGCCTGTCAGGTCCGGACCCTGGGGAGCGCCATTAGCCACAGCAGGACCCGCCCCCCACCCTTGCCAGGGCCCATCCACCCCCCACCCCCTAGAAACTGCCCTGGGCAGGGGGGCTCTGGGGTCAAAGGAGACATGGGGTTGTTCCTGGTTCAGGGCCCAGGAGGGCATCTCTGGGCCACAGGGCGTCCCATCCAGTCGGGAGGTGGAATGGGGTCTGTTAAGGAACCTAGTCCCACTGTTGCTGGAACCTTTTCCGTGGCCCTCTCCAGGTGTCCCCGACATCTACTAGTGGCCTCCAGTGAGACAGCTCCCAGCTGCTGAGGCCTCCCTGTTGGAGTCAGGGCCAGGCGTGGGGGACTGTGAGTAGCAGGTGACAAGGCTGTGTCCTCTGCCTCCCGCTCTCCCTTCACTTTCCCTAACGCTCGCCCTCCAGCTGCCCGGGGGTCTCTCCACAAGACTGGGCTTTCCTGTGATTCAGCCGGGGAGTCCCCAGCGATCACCTAGTACCAAACTCAGCACCCGGCACCCACCAGACATTCAGTTTGTGGTGAGCATCACTGTGGTTACCAGACCTCGGCCACAAACAGATGGCAAGGGACAGTCCAGCCCTGCGAGGCTAAGACCCCCAAACACACTTCCCTTCTGGCCCCTGCTGCCCTCCAGGCGCATCAGCCGCATCTTGCCCCATAATCACACGCATCCAGGGAGCCGCCACTCAGGACTAAGCGCCGTGCCTGTTGTCACCGAGGCACTGGGGCAGGGAGGAGGATCCCCTGTTGTGACCCTTCAGAGGTGGATCACGGGGAAAGGGAGGGCATGGGGCACACCAGGGGCCGTCAGAAGGCCCTCCTCCCAGGAGCCAGATGCCACTTGGAAGAAAGCCCACGTGGGCAAATGGAACAGTGTGAGCCACAGTCCCGCCGGCCCTGTCCACACAGAGGGACTTTGTAACTAACAGGTTCTGTGAATCGGGAACCAGCACCAAGCAACTGCTTTGAAAGTTTCTTTTCTTCAACTCACCATCCCCCTGATTGAACCAGAAACACCTATCATCGCAGAAAATCTGAGAATGCAGGTCCAAGAAGCAAAACATAACGCCCACACCCGGTAATTCTACCACCCAGAGATGTAGTGCCGATATCTCAGTGTCTTTTCCTTAGGTTGGTTCTCTTTCTTTCTTTCTTTCTTCTTCTTTTTTTTTTTTTTTTGTAATATTTATTTTTTAGTTGTAGTTGGACTCCATACCTTTATTTTATTTATCTATTTATATGTGGTGCTCAGGATCAGACCCAGGGCCTCACACGTGCCAGGCGAGTGCTCTACCGCTGAGCCACAACCCCAGCCCCTCCTTAGGTTGGGCTTCTAGAATTTTCCTTTCCACCTCCATCCCCGACCGCCTTATTTGACTCAGCAAAGTCCCCTGGAGTGTGCAGGGCCGAGGTGGGGCCGTCTGAGTCCTGATTTGAGGAGGCTTTTCCTCAACTCTCAAGCTGGTCCTGGGCTTCTGCCTGTGTCCGGGGAGTCAGGACAGGAGCTGAGGGACAGGAAGCCAGCAGGGTGGGACGGGACAGGTGGTCAGAGACAGCAGCCAGCTCTCTTGGGAGGCCTCTCAGAGGCCACCTCCACCAGCGAGCCCTTCAGGCGGTCCTCCTGCACCTTGAGTGACCTGCATGACAATATCCAGGTGTTAGTGTCCCCTTGCACCTTCAGTGTGGAGGGGCCCTGGGGGTGGCCAGGGCTGAGAGGCTGCACCTGGGCTCCCTCCCCTCCCTGCAATGCTCCTGGCACCGGAAAAATGGGGCCAGGGAGGCTTTGCCCTCTGTGTCCCTCTGTGCCCCTCTGTGTCTCTTCTGCATCCTTCAGGCGCACTGAGCACTGGGCACCATGAAGGGACACTGACTGGGACAAAGAAGCTGACGTGACCTGCCCTGAGTAGTAAAGGACACACAGGGAGAGGACACACAGCCGGGGATGGAGCGGGGTGGGGGCAGATCTGAGCTGGGACCTGAGCTCCAGCCTGTGAGCAGAAAGGGGGCCCTGGGCAGAGAGAGGGCCAAGACGCCGGTGGGGACAGTAAAAGAAGTCCGTCCACCTCCCCACGGCACAGCCGCCGCGGGCCAGGTGGCACTCCGCCCGTCTAACACCCTGGGACTCCACCGAATGCCCCGGATGTGCCAGGGGGGTTGAACAGAGCAGGCCAGAGACACAGAGTGGGCACAGTGATGGCGTGTCCAGGGCCGATGAGGGACACAGAGGGGCAAGGGAGGTTCCTGAGTGGCTGGAGCTGGTGAGTGTGAGGGGGTTCAGGGCAGGGGGCACTGGAGAGAGGACGGCTGCTGCAAGCATTTGGATTTCACTCCTAATCCACAGGAGGTGGGAGCAGGAGGGGGACGAGCTCTCCTCCAGAAATCAAGGAAACAGAGGCCGGAGGAGGACAGGCTGCAGTCAGGAGCCCCGTGTCCTGCACCCTGTCCTACCCACTCTGGGGCCACCTCCTCAGTTGGGGCCTTCCCTGCCCCACAGGAGCCAGGGCCGGACTGCAGCTGCCTTGGAGGATTCTGGGTGGGGGCGGGAGGGTGGGGGACGGCACTCACCGGGCCAGGTTCACCATGGGCTCCAGGATGTTGTGACCCAGGGCAGCGCTGCACTCCCCGAAGGAGACCCCCAGGTCCTGCAGGCAGACAGAGGGACTTGGGGAAACCGGCAGAAGGGCCAGGGACAGCTCTTGCCACCAACTATAGGCCAACCAGGGTCCGGCCCGGGCTCCCCAAACCCATCTCTGTGGGAGATGCAGCCCCCACATCTCAGCATGGCCCACATCCCCAGCAGGGCCCTGCCCTCCACCCTTCTCTACCCGGAGACATCCCGCAGAGTGCGAGTGACAGCAGGAAGACTGAGTCCCAAAGGAGGCAAGTGCTCTACCCTGAGCTACAGCCCAACCCTCTGCGGACACTTTTAACGATCAGTTATGTTTTTCGTTTCAAAAATATATCTTTGGAGACAGGCAAGGTGGTGCACACTCGTAATCCCAGTGGCTGGGGAGGCTGAGGCAGGAGGATCTCGAGTTCAAAGGCAGCCTCAGCAACAGCAAGGCCCTAAGCAGCTCAGTGAGACCCTGTCTCTAAATAAAATACAAAAGGGCTGCGGATGTGGATCAGTGGTCGAGTGCCCCTGGGTTCAATCCCTGGTACAAATATAAATAGATATATATATATATGGAATATTGAAAAATACAGTATTAAAAACTATAAACTCAAAATATAATTCAATGTTAGCATTTGTATATACATTTCCATTCCAATTTGTAGATCCCTTTATCCCTTTTAAGGGTGGGGTATGGGCTCTCTGTCACTCTATCTGGTTAAACTTTATGAATGGCTGCTTCTGTAGGCCCCAAACCGTCCCCTACCAGCCATTTCAAATGATTCAACTTTTCTTTTTCCTTTTTAGTTGTTGATGGACCTGTATTTTATTTATTTATTTATATGTGGTGCTGAGAATCAAACCCAGTGCCTCACACAGGCTAGGCAAGTGCTCTACCACCAGCCACAACCCCGGCCACAACTTCCATCTAGATTTCACATCTGTTTTTTTTTTGTTTTTTTTTTTGGTGGTGCTGGGAACTGAACCCAGGGCCCTCCCTGGGCCTGCGAGGCGAGCACTCTACGAACTGAGCTCTGACCCCAGCCCGCTTGCGTCTTGCTTTTCCAACTTCACATTATATTGCCAGCTTGCCCCACACCCTTAAGTAGGGCAGAATTCTTAAAGACAGACACCAGCCTCTCATATGACTCTCCACAAGTTAACCTCCAACCACTGCCAAAGGTTTGTTCTTATAAACAACACTGCAGTGAACATCCTCAGATAAACGCGGACGTTATCCTCGGGTGATCATCCTGTGTTCCCTTAGTATTTCTGACTCTTCCCTTAGAATCAAGGGCACCACCCACAGGAGAAGGTACTGCACCAGAGGATGCTCCGCTGCGTCTAAGAGGGAAATCTCCTGCCACTCGGGAGCCACCACAGTGACCCCAGATTATGAGAAATGAGAGAAGGAATGGGAAGGATATGCCGAGAGGGCTGTGTCGGGTGGGGCCAGCCGTGGTTTTTCCCCCTCTTTTCTTACTACTCTCTGGTTTTTCTAGAATGTGATTAAATCCCATTTGTAAATAAATGTATCCACTGTCTGCCAGTGGGCGGCTTTTGATGTAATCTTCCTGAGGAAGGATTCCTGTCTTAAAATAAAATAAATTAGAAGGGTGTATGCTAATTAGAGAGCAGAGATAAATTTAAGATTTGATTGGGAATTTTAAGGGAAGCTTTTAAAGCCTTTTGACTCTGAAGGTTTTTTTCCCTTTAATTTTTTATGTTGTAGGGTTATTGTGTGGGGACTTGCTAATTCCACGGTCAGGTTCAACATCACGCCCTTCACAGCCTGGGAGTTGGGCCTGCAGTGGCCCAGGGTGGGTGGGAGGTGGAGGTGGTCCACTCCGACCCCGGGGCCAAGGCAGGAAAGGGCACAGGCCAGTTGACCCCTGTTCATTAAGTGCTGGGGAGGCGTCCACTCAGTCCAGGTGGAGAGACAGGTCGCTGCCTGGGTGCTCACCTGGGCCAGCTGCCGCCCAGCTTCAGTGGGCACTTGGCGCTCCTCCTCACAGTCCATCTTGTTTCCCAGGAGAAGAACGACTGCTTGGCCCGACCCTTCATCCTGTCAGAGAATGAGCTCCTCAGCCCCCTCAGGGCAGGCCAGGCCCCCAGACATGCAATGGCCATGCCCAGCTCGAAGCTCCCAGAGGCTGATGGGGTGCCCTCCCAGGTGTCTCCCTGTCCACATCACACCTACCTCCTTCCCACCTGCACCCTTCCCCCATCCGCAGAGGGTCTGCTCCTCCTCTCTGCCTACAAACATCTCACCTGCTTTCTAAGGCCAAACTCAAGGGCACCTCCTCCAGGAAGCACTCCCAGATTGCTCCTACCCAATGCCCCTTTCTTCCTGCCTGTGCTTGGTCACACAGGCTGCCCTGGCACATTCCCTAACTAGTTCATTAATAATAATAACAAGAATAACTTCTGATAACTGAGTGCTTGCTGTATACACCAGGTGCTATGCTGAAAGCGATTCTATTTTATTAGTCTTCAGAGCTCCCTGATGAGAAAAGCCAGGAAATGGAAGTTCAGAGAGGTTAAGTTGATGGTCCAAAGTCACAGAGTTGGGGTGGGGTAGTTGGGATTCAAAGCTAAGTCCTGTCAGGCCCAGAGTCCAGGTCCCCTCCTCGTGCTTTACCTTATCCTGCTTCTCCTCACTAACTAGAAACTTTGGAAGAGAAGCAGCATGTCTCCCTGCATGTGGGTCACACATTAGCTCATATGCATTGCAGAGTTCCAGGATATGTGTATCAAGTATTTTGGAGAAAAAAAACTAGAGACGTGTGAACAGAGGAATTTTCACATCATCCTCAGGTGTTAGGAAGAAGACATCACAAACAGAGCTGCTGTGTACAGAGAAGAAATGCTCATAGGATAAAGGAAGCAGTTTGGTTTGGAGGCTGTACTATGTGGTTGTGGTTTCTTTGTACTACTGCACTCCCTGCTCATCCAGTCACATACCGTCAGTGAGTGGTGTCACTCACAGGACTGTGGTGTCATTTGTAACCCTGGGAGAAAAGGAGAAGAGGACAGGATGCAAGCTTCCTAAAGATTCTAAAATGCGGAACCAGCTCTGCCAGCTGTGTGCTCACCTGTAGACAGTCCATCCAGTAGCGCACGTGGGCAAAGCTCTCCTGGGAGGTGACATCATACATGAGCACCACCCCGTCAGCCTTGCGGAGCAGCTGTCGCGTCAAGCTGTGGTACCTGCCCAGAGAGCCTGCGTGAGACCACGTTAGCTACGGCTCCCAGGTCCTGGCCTTCAGGCCTCGCCACGCCCTCTGCAAAGCGGGCCCCTGACCTGTTCAGCCCAAGGAGAGAGTGCGTCTGCTTCCCTCCCACACACCAGGCTGCAGTGCCAGTGGTTCACGTTTCAAAGGATACAAGGGCACCTCCAGGAACCCTCCCTCCCCAGCCCACCCTGCAGCCACCAGTGCCCCCCCACCCAGCCCCTCCCCAGGGCAAGCAGGATACCAGGGTCTTAAGATTTTTCCAGAGGGTGTGTGTGTGTGTGTGTGTGTGTGTGTGTTGTGGTGCTGGGGAATTGCACCTGGGGTGCTCTACACTGAGCTACATCCCAGCCCTTTTATTTTTTATTTTCATTTTTAATTTCTTATTTTTTTATTTATTTTGGGGGGCACCAGGGTGCCGCAGTCTGGCTGCAGCAAAACAGCCGGGGGGGGGGGGTGACGAACAACTTGTGTATGTTGATACAGCAGGAGTGGGAGCCGTTTATTGCAGGACAGGAGCGGTATTTATACATTCCACACAGCCTATCTAATTAGCATAAACTCGATACAGCAGTTAACCAATAAGGAATCTCCACACTTAATGGCTCGCAGTCAACCAATAAGGAATCTCCACACTTAATGGCTCGCTGGCGTTACTTCACAAACCTCTCCCTCTGCAAAATGCCAGGCGCCATCCAGACTTGTTTACAGACTCTAACACCAGGGATTGAACTCAGGGGCACCTGACCCACGCTCCTTCCCAGGTCCCCAGCACTTTTTTTTTTAATTTAGAGACAGGGTCTCTCTGAGTTGCTTGGCACCTCGCCATTGCTGAGGCTGGCTTTGAACTTGGATCCTCCTGCCTCAACCTCTGGAGCCGCTGGGATTACACGCATACACCACCGCGCCCAGCTTAGTTTTTATTTTGAGACAGAGTCTCACTGACTTGCCCAGGCTGGCCTCGAACTTGCCACCCTCTTCCCTCAGCCTCTTGAGTGGTTGGGATTACAGGCCTGTACCATCATGCCCAGCTTTCCAGGGGTAGTTTATGTGCACACACACACACACACACGCATGCACACAGACGTGCACACAGACACACACAGACACACACCTTTTCCCATTTTACACAAACACAGTGTATCCTGGTGCATCTAAGGCCTTGGGTTTGAGCCCCAGGATGAAAAAAAAAAACTAGCATAAAACCCTCATCATACTCATTAATGTTTAGTGTCCTGAGTTTGTTTTTTCCAGTTAACAAGACAAGATGTCTGAGATATTTCCCTGTCTCTACATACAGTCCTCCGTCTTTTTGGAGTTGTGTAGTGTTCTAGGGCATGGACTGACCCTAATTCACTTAACCAGTCCACTGTTGATGGACATTTAGGTTTCCAAGGTGAGTTTTTGGTTATTGTTTGTTTGTTTGTCTTGGGTACCAAGAATTGAACCCACGGGTGCTTCGCCACTGAGCCACATCCCCAGCTCTTTTCATTTTTTATTTTGAGTCAGGGCCTTCTAAATTGCTGACAGTCTCACTAAGATGCGGAGGCTGGCCTTGAACTCTCAATCCTCCTGCCTCAGCCTCCTGAGCTGCTGGGATTACAGGTGTGTGCCGCCATGCCTGGCTGTGTCCAGGGTTTTGTGACATAAATGACGTGGCTATAAACAGTCCCTTTGTTACAGTCATGTAGATGATGTGTATATAAATTTATAATTTATAGCATGGGTTTCTAGAGGGGGAACTGCAGAGTCAAACCACACGCGCCTTTTAGGTGATGATCCTATTGCCTTGGTGTAAAGTGGGAGGCCAGGTATCCAGAAGGACAGGTGATCAGGTGGCTGTCTCCTGAGGGTGGCGTTGGGACAGCCCTAACCCATGTCCTGCAGGCCCAGGGGCCTCTGGGTTGGCCCCTCCTCCCTGGCTTGGGCCTGACCCACGCTCCTTCCCTGACATCCCGAATCCCTCCTGGGCGGCCTCTCTGGCCCAGGTCGACAGGGCTGCCCTCCACCCCCTCCGCACACCCAGGTACCCGACAACCAACACAGACAGAGCCGCTACCTCTCCTGGCCAGCCGTGTCCCAGAGCTGCAGCGCAAAGCACTTGTTGTCCACCATCAGGGTTTTGATCCGAAAATCCACTCCTAGGAAATAGAGCAGGGCGAGGCCTACCTCAGGGACCGCCTGGACTCTAGCCCAGACCTGCCCAAGAGACACCGATGCCTGCCCCCAGCCTGGCTGCCGGGCTTCCACTGCGCTCTCAAGTCCCCGAGCCTCACAGGCCACCGTAGACAGGCACCTGGGGGGCAGAGGACGGAGCCCTGGCCTTGGGGATGATGGATGGGGCCATCTCTGTGCCGGCTGTGTGACCTCGGGCCGGTCACTGCCTTCCTCTGAGCCTCGCTCTCATCCTCGCGGCAGGGGGTTGGGGAAGGTACGAGGCTACGTGGAAGGCGCAGCCCGGTGGCGAGTTGTTCTCATGGTCCTTTCTGGTCTCCGCTCCCCCTAGTCACAGTTCCAGTCTCTCCATGAGAGGGCGGGGTGGGGGGAGACGGAACATCCCAGGGAGGGTTAGAGTCGTCGGGTGCCCCTTCCTGCCAAGCCCTGCACCTCAAGGAAACCCGGTGGGTAGGGGAGAGGCAGCCCGGGGGCGGGGCCGCCCTGTCCCTGTCCTGCCCACCTTCCTGTGGGGCACAGAGGCCCCGGCCTGCTCCCAGGCGGGGATCTCCTAACGCTGGCCATGCCCTGCTCAGACCTGAGGGGCAGCCACCCTGCTGCAGGTCTCTCCCATGAGATCCGCAGGCACCTGCAGCCCCTCCCTCTCCCCCACTCTCCACCTGGCGCTGGGAGGAGCAGCTGCCCGCGGTCACTTCTGTCTTTTTTTTCCCTCTCCGTCAACCCCGAGGAGTTGTTCTTCTTCTTATTATTTTGGTACCAGGGATTGAACCCGGGGTGCCTTACCACTGAGCTACAGCCCCAGCCTTTTTAAAATTTTGAGGCGGGGTCTCTCTAAACTGGCCTTGAACTTGCAATCCTCCTGCCTCAGCCTCCTGCGATGCTGCAGTCACAGAGAGGTGCCCCCACGACCAGCTGCAGCCTGCTCTAGCTCCACTGATTTAGTGGACACTTCCTCTCCCACAATGACGGGAGGTCCAGGCCTGAGGAGGGCAGTTGTTGAAAGGAACAAGACGCCCATGGAGACGCCGGGTGCGCTGTAGGTGGCCAGTAATTAGTAGTTTAGGGGATTCATGATGGTGGCCTTCTAGTCCCTGGGACCCCCACTTCACATCAGGCGAGCCTGCCACAGGTCCCCCCTCCCTCCCGAGGACATTGCATCCCACCAGCTCCCCACGTGAGGATCTTGGGCGGAGAAAGGCTCGAGAGCGTGTCCTGGGCCCCTTTTGTGAAAGGGCGGTCTGTAAGCCACCAGCCCGACATGACATTGTCTTCCCTTGTGCTCGCCCTGGCCTGACATGAGGGCGTGTAGGGCTCCCATCTTTGTCCCCCAGCAGGTCTCCCTTTCATTCCCACAAGCTCTCTTTTCTGTCACTCTATGCCACGCTCCATGGCCAGCTATCCAGAGTCTTAGGATGGGGAGACTTTGGTTCCAGAAAGTGCTTTGGGACACCTCATTTGCAGAATTAGACTTTCTCAAACATTTACTTATAATAATAACAATGGCTAACATTTTCCTGAGCACTTAGTATGTGCCAGGCATTGTTCTTGGAGCTGTTAATTTACTAATCCTTCAACCACCACAGGCAGTGGTGTCTGTCTCTGTCATGCAGATGAGGATTTGTGGGCTCTGAAGGAATTATGGCTTAGATCTGGAATGGGTCCCCACAGGCATGTCTCGGAGGCTTGGTTCCCAGCCTGGCACGCTTGGGAAGTGGTGGAAACCTCGGGGAGGTCTTCTGGTCACTGCGATCATGCCTTGAAGGGGAGAGGGGGACCCCAGCCCCTCCTTTTCCTTTTTTTGACACCAGGGATTGAACTCAGGGGCACTGAGCCCACTGACCACTGAGCCCCGTCCCCAGCCCTATTTTGTATTTTATTTGGAGACAGGGTCTCGCTGAGTGGCTTAGCACCTCACTGTTGCTGAGGCTGGCTTTGAACTTGTGATCCTCCTGCCTCAGCCTCCTGAGCAGCTGGGATTACAGGTGTGCACCACCTCCCCTGGCTCTTTTCCTTTCTTTTGTTTTCCCACCAGGAGGTCAGCGGTCTAGCTCCAGAACAGACTTCCTACCTCGATGCACCTCATCACAGACCCAAAGGCAAATGGGGCTACCCGACCATGGATGGACACCTCCAAGCCATGAGATTACAAGTCGATTATCGCAGATGTTTGTTAGAGTGGCAGAAAGCAGGCACAGGGGGTTGATTAATGGGCCCAAGTTCACTTCCCTGGTAAGTGGCAGAGCCAGGATTTGAAGGCAGACACCTGTGTGCCTTCTCGGCCACATCTACAAGTGGATTCTATGCGGGAGCCTCAACTTGCCCCGGGGGACCTCCTGCTGGAACAGGCAGGCTGGCCTGGGGCTGGCTGTGATGGGTCCAGCTGGCCCTGCAGCGGCTGCCCATGGCCACGTGGGTGGAGCTGGGCTTGTGCTCACCCTCCACAGCGCTGCACCTAAATTGCAGGGTGCTTTGTTGATGGGCACATTATAAGCTAATCAGATCAATGCAGAAAAAGCAAATTACCTGTAATTAGGGACGATTAGTGAAATACTAAGATCATGCCCACATAGAACAAGGTCGAACGCCGGGCCCGTGGCCAGGGCACAACCTGCTGCCTCCTCGCCGGGGGCTGGCTCTGGGCCTGCTCCAGCTCCCCGTCCCTGACCCCGGGTCTGCCCTCCCCGGCGGGGCCCTTACCCACGGTCGCTGCCAGCCCCGTGGCGAAGGCGTTCTGGTGCAGAAGGTACAGGAAGGAGGTCTTGCCCACGTTGGAGTCGCCCAGGAAGATGACGTGGAAGAGGTACTCGGGGTCAGCTGGAGGCCCGCTGGCTGGGGAGTCCCCCAGGGATGGGGTCAGCCCAGCCTCCCCGGAGTCGGATCCCAGGTCCTCAGGCCTGCTCCCGGCCCTTGGCTCCCCGGCCCCAGAGGGGCCTGCTTCTCTTTCCGCCAGAGCAGCTGTGGCTGGGGACCCGGGTTGCGCTTCTCTCTCAGCCAGCTCGGGGCCTGGTCGAGGGGACTCTAGGGACCCTGCAGCAGCCCTGGGCGGAGGGTCCCCTGGAGGGGACAGCTGTCCAGGAGCAGGGGCTGCCACAGGAGTCTGGGGTAGGTCAGCGGGGAGAGGGGCACGCGGAGGCTCCTGCTGGGGGGACTCGGGATGCCCAGTTTCCAGGCCAGGAGCCTCAGCTGCCTGAGCGGAACCAGGGTCCTGCCGGCTGCGGTCCACTGGTTTTCCTGCCTCAGCCTTGGGCTCCTCTTCCAGCCTCCGGAGAGGGGAGGCAGGTAGCCCGTCTGGCCTGAGGGCCTGGCCAGGAGCCTCTCTTAGCCCCCCGGGGTGGCCCTGCCCCAGCCCTTCTGTGGGAGACTGACCCACTGACCGCAGGCCCCAGGAGGGTTCCGTTGGCCCCTCTGGGAGGGCCACAGCCCCCTGGGGGGCAGGCTCGGCCTCCAAAGGAATGAGCACCCGGAGGGCAGCTGCCACCAGGCTCCCTGACCCCCCAGCTGGGGCTCCCGGACTCCAGGGGAGGGGGGCCTTGGGGCTGGGTCCTGGCTCAGTGTCGGGTTCCAGGCCTCGGGGCTTCACAGGACGCTCTAGACCAAGGTCCTGCTCCTCTGGGTCAATTCCAGAGGATGGCTCCTGACCAAATGGCAAAGCGTGTGACTTGGAGAGGGAGATCTGCCTGACCACGCGGGGTGTCTGGGGGCCTGCGGCGTCTCTTGGGGTTGGGGGTGGGCTCCAGGAGAGCTGCAGGGCTTTGGGGGGAGGGCTGCTGAAGTTCAGGAGCTGGCCCCAGTCATCGTTGTCCCCAAACAGCCCAGGCAGGGGCAGCTCTTCCGGGGAGATCGCTGGAGGGCTTGGGGCCTTCTCAGGTGAACGGGGGACACTGGAAAGGACGTGGGGCAGTGAAGTCAGGGGAAGGTCAGGTGCGGACGGTCACCCCACTCCCGCCTGCCTACCAACCCATCCAGTGCATGTCCCATGACTGTCCCCTCCAGTGCTGGCTCAGGCACCTCCCTACCTGGCCATGTCCCTCCCACTCACCAAGCCCTCATCCCAAGGCCCACAAGAAGCCTGACCTCCTCCAGCAGCACGCTAGGCCGTGTGCATGTGCGTGTGTGTGTGTGTGTGTGTGCATGCACATGTGCCCTGCACACACGTGTCTTAATCCCATTGTGTGATCTTGGGCACAAGTCTTTCACTTTCCTGTGCCTCAGTTTGCTCAGCTGAGAAATGGGCACTGTCATCTCGGCTCGGCAGGGTTGCGTGAGCATCAGGGAGGGAGGTGTGTTGCATGCTGACCAGAGCCTTAGAGAACAGAGTCCCCCTCCCTTGTTCCCCTCCCCTGTCCCAGGACAGCCACTTGCCTGGGTTCCTCCTCTATCTGCCAGGACACTCGGCCCCTGGCAGCATCCAGGTGTCTCCTGGTGACCTGCAACTGACCCCGCATCTCCTCCAGCTGCCCAGCCAGGTCCTGCTTGGCCTCCTGAAGCTGCCGGTTCTCTGAGTCGGCCTCCTGCTGCGTGTCACTGAGGTGATGGAGCCGGGCCTCCAGCTGCACAGGGGGAGGGGCAGAGACACAGTGGCCCTCCAGGGCAGCCAGAAGTCTCCCCAGGCCATGGGGACAACCCCCTGCCACCCCATGGCCCAAGCTCCAGGAGACCAGCTGAAAACACAGGATGTGGGGTGGGGGCGCCTCTCAATGGCCTCACCGGCTCCCTTGTCATCCACACAGGGACATGTGACATACAGGGCATGGAGGAGGGGAAGGCCCGTGTCAAACAGGCACACCTGCCTGGGCTCGAGAGCCCCATGGCTGCTCCATCTGGGCTTCGAGGGCTCTTGACCCAATGGCAAATCATGGGGCTCAGATGAATTGTGTGACCATAGGGAGTGGAAGGTAGGACTCTCACAACGGCTTCCAGGACCCTGCAGTCTCCCCAACACCCCCTGTTATGTCTCTGCCTTCCTTTCCTAGTGCTGTCCCCTCCCTCAGTCTGTCCCAGCTCACAGGTCTGCTTCTCAGTCCTTGCACATTCCTACCTCAGGGCCTTTGCACTTGCCACTCCCTCTGCCTGGACTGCTCTTCCCCCAGTTACCACAAGGCTCAGCCCACAATTCTTCCGGTCTGTACTCCAATGTCATCATCTGAGGGAGGCCTTCCTTGACACCCCTCTAACTCATTTAAAATTCCCCAACCTTCCAGCCCCCTTCCCTGCTTTACTCCTCCTCAGCACTCACCCATCTCTCTCGTGTTCTATCATATTGTACCTGTGCATTTTGTCCCTGTCCCCTTGACTACATGGTACCTCCACAGGCAGGGGTCTGTCTCTCGTGTTCCTCAAAATCTAGAGCAGCGTCTAGCACATCATAGGTGCCCATTAAGGAACCGTGGGGTGGAGGGAAGAATGGCGGGGGGTGGGGGGTGCAGGGTGCAAGATCAAATGGCCCCTTGAGGCTCAGAGATGTTAAGCACCCGCAGAGGTCACTCAGCTGACGATGCAGAGGAGATGAACTTCCACCTGGTCACCAGGCTTCTCCAACAACAAGACCTTGTGTTTGTCCAGTGCTTTCCCAGTTCAAAGCACCTTCCCATCTACTACCTCATCTGACCCAATGCGCCTTCCTAGGGGACACCCTGGACGCAGCCACCCATTTTACAGGTGGAGAGACGGAGGCCAGGAGAAGCCATTTCCTCAGGTTTGCATGGATCTTCTCTGGAGGACGCTCAGGGGTCTGAGCCTGGACCTCATGATGGAGCTCAGAGCTCCACTTGCTGCTTACCTCAGAACAGGCCCAGGACACTCTTTCCCAGGGCTGTGCTTGTGGGGGAGCCCAGGTGGCCCAGTGAATCCTCAGAGTGGGGTGGTGGCTCCAGGCTGACCTGTCCAGTCAGGATCAGGGAGCCCGGAGGGCAGGCCCATCAAGATGGGTGTCAGAGTCTGGGACTCCTCGTCGGGGGGGCGTCTGCACGTCCCTGTCACTCACCTCCCTCTGGCCCTCGGCCAGCTTCTGCACCTCTTGCTCCTTGGCCTCCAGGACTTCCTGCATCTGGGAGCTGAGGGCCAGGCCCCGGGAGTCGCTCTGTGGAGAAGACGGCTCAGCCCTGCCCTGAGACTCCCCGAGCCAACGGGCTGGGCGGCCTTCCCAACGCGTGGCCCCCACCCGGCCCCAGACTCGGAGGCCAGGGGGCCCCAGGAGTGTTCTCAGGATCCCCAGGTTGCACAACCGGAGGCCGAGACCCAGAGAAGGGAGCTGGCCCTGGAGACGGCAACTCTGCGCTCCCAGTGCCCAGCCAGGGCAGGGTGGCCAGGCGGTGGCCAGGCGGTGCCCACCTCGGCCTGCAGCTGCCGCTTCTCCCTGCTGATCTGCTGCTGCATCTCCTCATAGAGCCGGCGCACCTCGCGGTGGTGGTCGGAGTCACGCCTGGAGGGGGGCAGGAGGTGGGCACCGGGACCCTCAGCACCTGGGGGACCCTGCGGCCGGGGCAGACGGATCCAGGGTCCAGCCTGTCCTACCACTGGCCTCACCCTTCCAGCAGTCACGGTCCCTTGTCACCCTGGGAACAGCCATCTGAGCACTTTAACACGGGTTACTCCCCCGTCACCAAGATACTGGCTCCCCCAGGCCCTGTCACATGGTCCCTGTGGCCCCATCGTTGGTCCCACCTTCCTCGGTCAACAACCCCTGCCCCTCCTCAGACCCTCCGGCAGGGTGACCTTGCCAGCCCTCGCACTCGACTCACCACACACTCTGCAGTCTGGGTGAGTGGCCACCCTGCAGCTGGGCTGGGGTGTTCCTGGAGCTGGGTTGGGGGTGTTCCTGCAGCTGGGCTGGGGGTGTCCCTGCAGCTGGGTTGGGGGTGTCCCTGGAGCTGGGTTGGGGGTGTCCCTGCAGCTGGGCTGGGGGTGTCCCTGCAGCTGGGCTGGGGAGTGACCCTGCAGCTGGGCTGGGGGTGTCCCTGCAGCTGGGCTGGGGGTGACCCTGCAGCTGGGTTGGGGGTGTCTCTGGACTGGGCTGGGGATGACCCTGCAGCTGGGCTGGGGGTGACCCTGGAATGGGCTGGGAGTGTCCCTGGACTGGGCTGGGGGTGTCTCTGAACTGGGCTGGGGGTGACCCTGGACTGGGCTGGGGGAGTCCCGGCACCAGACACACTGCCACTCTCCCCTGCAGAAGGATGGACTGTCCTCCCAGGCTGCCTGAAGCCCTGGCCCCAGCGCAGCCCGAGGCCTGCCCTAGGAGGAGCGGGATTGGACTCCATCCAACTGGGAGCCCGTGGGGACGAGCGCAGGTCCCCAGTCACTCACTTCCTCAGGGTCAGCTCCAGCGCCTCCCGGTCGGCCCGGACCTCCTGCAGGCGGCCGCTCACCCTGGCCAGGAAGGCCTCGAGGTTGCCCGCCAGCTGGGGCTCCTCCTGCCGCAGCTTCCCCCACAGCTGCCAGAGCTCCGCCTGCCTGGGGAGGGGAGGCCACCAGAGATCAGGGACGAGGGGCCAGGCAGCAGGGGACCCTGCTCCTCAGTGTTCCTGGCAACAACACCCCCAGAGCCTTGGACAGCAACTCCAGCCACAGCCTTCAAGGCACAACTCAAACGTCACCTCTTCCAGGAACCTGTCCCGGAGGCGCCCTCTCCCCCGTCCTCATGACTGTGAGCCAGGGCGTCCATCGGCCTCCCCTCTTCTCCCACTCTGGAGCTGTGTGATCTTCTGCAAATCACACCCTCTCTGGGCCCACTTGTAAATGGGGAGGGCAATACTGCCTGGCAAGGTCACTGGGGAGTGAGAGACGCACCCTGAGAGCACAGCGCAGGTCCTGGCACACAGCGGGCACTCAGCAAATTCTGCTTCACGAGGATTGTTAATTAAGTCGTGAAGACAGACGCCAGAGGGCGGGAGCCCAGGCCAAGCTGCCAAGTGGGTAAACGGCTCCCGTTCTACCTGCCCTGCCGGCCTACACCCGAGGTCCCACCCTCCAAGTGCCAGATGTGAGGGATCTTGTCCTCACAGAGCCCCGTGGATGGGGTGAGCGAACCTGAGGGAGTGGGGGGCTCTGAGGGTCCCCGAGGCACCTGGAGGGTGTGGAGGGGGCGTTTTCTCTCTGAGCAGGAGAGACGCGCTCCCAGCACTCACGGGAGGCTGACACCCCAACCTCTGGGCGGGGAAGGTGACCCCGGGCATCCTCTGCACAGGCTTCAACCCCACAGCAGCTTCCCCATTGGACAACCAGGGGACAGAGGTCAGAGGTCAGCCACCCCGTGGTCACAAGCCGGCAAGTGACCAGGCTGGATCTGCACCCAGCTTGCGTCTTTGGCTCTGTGTCCAGGACCGCCCTCACCCCCACCACGTGGCCTTACTCAGGAAGAGTGTGGCTGGTCCCCAGCTGCCCCATGAGGGCAAGGAATGCCTCCCTCTCCTCAGCGTCCGCCTCCTCCAGCGCAGGGAAGCTGGTGGCCACGGACACCCGAGCGGGCAGCGGCCGCCTTCTGCGGAGCCTCTGGGTGCTCAGGCTGGAGCCAAAGAGGGTTCCTGTGGAACAAAGGGGAGCAGGTGGGTGGGCCCTGGCCCCCACCCCGCCCCTCTCCAGCCCTTGAGGGAGGACTGTTCCTGTGCCGGTCACATTTATACATTCTGTGTTCCTCTTGCAACCTCGGCAGTCCACTGAACGTAGGCACTGGCCATCTTACAGGTCACCTGACACTCAGAGACACCCAAAGACCTGCTGGAATTCACACCGAAGCTCTGGAAGCCAACAGATTGTTTGTGCGCTCTGTCGAAGGATATTTACTGAGCACCTACTCTGTGCTGGTGTCTAAATTAGGCAAAAGCCCATCCCTGGCAGAGCTGACCTTCTAGCCAAGGTTGAAAAGCAAACTTGCCCGACTCTCTTCCGCTCTTAGCTTCCCAATCACCAGAACTTGAGCAGCCACCTCCCGGGCCGGCCTCAGCCAGGAATGCAAACCCCTAGCCTTCCTCTCTGCTCTCCTCCAAGCTCTGAGTCACCCCCTGGTCCTGGAGCTCTGGAGGGCTGTGAGGACACTGAAGGCCGAGGGACTCGGAGGAGGACATCGCCCCCTCCATTCCCTGGGCCAGAAGTTTTCTGCTTCGTAGAAGCGTGACCTCAGCTCTCTGAGTCCTGTTAGGCTCATCTTGAGAGGCAGGTGCTTAGGGACCCTGCCCAGTCAGGGGGCCCCACCCTCTAAATGCCCTGGGGCCTAGAATTCCCTTCACCAAAGCAGGCACTGTCACCTCCCTCAGGTGGACACCTGCCTGTGGCCTAAGTGCAGATGGGAGGTTTTAACGGATCCCTGAGGAGAGGCCTTCTGGGCAAGTGCAGCGGAGTACCCTGAACTGCTGGGCACGGGAGGGGGGCACTGTGATGGGGTGGACCAGCCACCGGACAGGTGGTTGGCACACCTCTGGGGAAGTCCCCCGGGGCCCTCCCAGGTCAGACGTACTGAGTCCAGAGCTGAATTCTTCCAGGGAGAGGCGGCCCCTCTGCTCCACGTCCACCCAGTCGAAGATCATCTGTGGCTCCTCCTGGCTGGCCAGGAAACTGAACTTGGCGTCCTGGAGGGAAGGCATGAGTGGGCGGCTGTTCCCACAGCGAGGGGCTGCAGGTCCCCCTCACAAAACAGGGGGTGCTGTCTCCAGCCCCCTCCCCATCCCTGTTTCAGAGTTCTCCCAACCCCCGACCCAGGGCTGCCCAGGGCTCCCAGCATCACCCCGGGCAGCTGCAGCAGGCCCCAAGCCTTTTCCCTCTCTCCCTCCAAAATCCAGTCTCATCTGTTTTGAGTCCCAGCCCTTCAGGACCTCGATAAAGGACAGCCACTAATCCTCCCCAGACGTGTTCCTCAATGTCTAAAAATTATCTGAAACTGGAAAACAAGTCACAAAGGTAGATAGCATATCCTCACAGTGTCACAGAGGATCGAGGGCCACCCACACTTCTGCCAGACTAGGAGGTGGACTTAGTTCAAGTCATGGGACTGACTACATGAAGTCACAGGTCATCATGTAGATTTTATCCAGGGAACACATAAATAATTTTTATCTGATGGAACAGAAAACTCCAAGATTTATGGCCTGTTGAACATTAACCAGCTTTTAAAAATCCAACTCAGCAATCTGGTTCTAATGCTTCTGTTTAATTGCATAACTATTTTAATGTGCTTTGAATCATTCCTGACCTTAATTAATGAGTTAAGTCTCTGATATGAAGTTCTTTGTTTTTTTTTTTGTTTTTGTTTTTGTTTTTGGTACCAGAGATTGAACCCAGGGGTGCTTAACTTCTGAGCCACATCCACAGCCCTTTTTATATTTTATTTAGAGACAGGGGCTCACTGAGTTGCTAGGGCCTCACTAAGTGGCTGAGGCTGGCTTTGAACTCATGATCCTCCTGTCTCAGCCTCCTAAACTGCTGGGATTACAGATGTGCTCCACTGTGTCCGTCTCTGATGTGCATGTTTTTATGTTTGCCTATAAGTCATGAGATTTCACCTTTTGGAAAGTTATCCTTTAATTTTCTTTAGAAGATCCACCATCTAAGGGACTCACCTGGCAGAGCCAAGTACCCTACATTGCCAGATACCTCATGGGCTCTTGGAATCCAGTGTTTCTTTTTTCATTTTATTATTATTATTATTATTAGTAGTAGTAGTAGTAGTAGTAGTAGTAGTTTTAGGTGGACACAATATCTTTATTTTACACTAAGTGGTGCTGAGGATTGAACCCAGTGCCTTGTGCATGCTAGGCGAGCGCTCTACCACTGAGCCACAACCCCAGCAGGTGTTTCTTTTTTGACTCTCAGAAGGAGTCCAACTGTAACAGAACCTTGAATCTGCCAATTCTGTTCCTCTGATTATTGGTTTCCTTTTGCTGATTTTGTGTTTTTATTTTGGGTTGCATGTTGCTGGTAAGCTATTCCCAGATGGTGGCGGCAGTGATGGGGATGAGATTTCGTGGCCTAGTTGGGATGCATGGTGGAGACCAAGCACCTGTTGGTGGAGAGATAACAGAAATTTGGTTTGCTCATCTTTTTGTTGTTTGTTTTTCTACTTGTGACGTTGAATTGGCTAAGAATTGCTCTGCACAGGGAAGGAGGACAGCTCTTGGAGATCTGAGATGGTGAGTTTTTGTGTCTCTGCATTTCCTTTTGACCCATGGGTGGAATTGTAGAAATGAAGCTGGACTCTGTGTGTGTGTGTGCGCGCGTGTGTCTGTAATTCAGAAAAACCTTCAACGCTTATTGAGAATCTGCAATATTTTTGAACCTGTGGGAGGAATTAATAACTTAGGGTAATATGTCTCTTGAAAATGTTCAGCAATGATTGGTTTACAGAGACAAATATGTTTCTCAAAATAGAAAATAAGAATACTGAAATTCTAGTGTTATAAATATGCTACACTTTAAAATATGATCTTATAGAAACTGCTAACTCAAAATATATTTTAAAGAGCTAGCCATAATTAAGGTGGATCATAGAACAAATTAAACTGATTTGTTAATTTTGGTTTAAAGAACACAAATAATAGCTATCTGTGTTTTCTCTGCTTTATGTTAACTATAATGCAGGTGTCCATTCTGTATTTTAGAAGATCTTGATTTGCTTTTTGTGAGAAAACTAATTAATCTGAATTGCTTTCACTTCATCATCTTACTGATGAAATAAGCCAACATCATCCTTAACCATGTGCTGTTGTTATTGTGTAAGGTTATAAAAATGTAAATAAATAAATCTATTATTCTAACAAATACATTTTATGTAAATAGTATTAATTTTATAGTGTATCCTCTTCCCCACCCCCCCACCCCCGGGTACTGGGGATTGAACACCCAGCCTATGGTGTCTCATCTTCAACACAATTTCCAAAATCCTCAGGTAACTTTAAGAGCCTGAATTTATATTCAATTACATTAACAAATAATTTTTGGCTACTTATATAATCTTTTAAAATATATTTTTAGTTGTAGATGGGCATAATACCTTTATTTTATTTTTTTTATGTGGTGCTGAGGATCGAACCCAGTGCCTCACATGTGCTAGGCAAGTGCTCTACCACTGAGCTACAGCCTCAGCCCCTACTTATATAATTTCAAGAAAAATTTAATATTGAACTTACTGAATTATATTTGTTGATTGCTAAGCATAACTTTAACTTTATATCCTTTACTGCCTGTTTTCGCACATGCTAGAAGGTCTCCATATCTTGGGTCATGTTATTGAGTGAATTCATTTTGCCACTTAGAAAAAATTGTGTGAGGGATGGCAGAGACTCAGACGTTTGCATGTTCATACCCACAGTACCAGTACCCACAACAGCCCCAAATGCAACCCAAATGCCCATCAGTGGATAACGTGGTATCCATGTACAATGGAATGGCACCCAGCTTTAAGAAGGTAGAGAATTTGGAACACGAGCTTCCCCCTGGGTGAGCAGTAAGGACACTATGCTAAGTGAAATGAGCCGGTCACAAAGGGACTAATACTGCGCCATCCCACTGAAGTATCTAGAATGCTCAAATTCACACAGACAGAAAGGAGAATAAGGGCCAAGTGTGGTGGCACACAGCTGTAATTCCAGTGGCTTGGGAGACTGAGGCAAGAGGATCGAGAGTCCAAAGCCAGCCTCAGCAACTTAGCCAGGCCCTAAGCAATTTAGTGAGACCCTGTCTCAAAATAAAATATAAAAAGGATTGGGGGTGTGGCTAAGCACCCCTGGGTTCAATTCCCAGTACGAAGAAGGAGGAGGAGGGGGGGGGAGGAAAGAAAGAAAGGAGGATAAGGCCACAGAGGAGTGAGGAGAGGCGGGAAGGAGAGCTGTTGCTTCATGAGCACAGTTTCGGTTTGGGAAGATGAAAGAAAGTTCTGGAGATAGATGGTACAGAAGGGTTGCGCAACAGTGTGAATCACTTAATACCTCTGAGCTACACACTTGAAAATGACTAAAATGGTAAGTTTTATGTTATGTCCACCTTATCACAATTTTTTAAAAAGTATAACGTCTACGAGCGGCTGTAGAAAGCTGTGTTAGGTGTCTCAGAGAGCTTTGCTAGTCGGATACAAGGGGTTGTGTTGGATGATTCTTGATGATTTACCCTCAGTTCTTTCTGTGAAACAGAGGTTAATTATGTTGATTAAAAGCATTAATCCCTCTGGATGCTTAAGACACCACTAAGAGCAATAGTGACAGAAACACAGTCTGCAAGGAAAATGGAATGTGGTTTTGCTTTCCAAGGGATCCGGCGAGAGGTTTTGGCTGAAAGAGCCCAGTTATTCCAGAACATGCAAAAGGATTAAAAGACAAAACATGAATATATAGAGAAGGTTCGCTGAAAGCAGTTTTATTTGCCCTAATTTATAATGCCTGGAAATCAGCTATGAAATGTATTAACATTTTGCCAAATTGGTTTCATTATGATGGGTTTGAAAATAATAATAAACAAAAACTCATGAAACATTAACGGCCATGATATTCTACTAATGCAAAACTAGAATTTGGCTCCATCTCTATTAAAATGATAAGTTGGTCTCAGAGTTCTCAGCAAGGGCTCAAAATGGGTGACTATGCTAGGCATGGTGACTCACACCTATAATTCCAGCAGCTTGGGAGGCTGAGGCAGGAGGATCAAGGGTTCAAAGCCAAGCTCAGCAACTTAGTGAGGTCCTGAGCAACTTAGTGAGATCCTGTCTCAAAGTAAAAAAATAAAAAGGGCTAGCAATATGGCTCAGAAGTTAAATGCCCCTTAGTTAAATCTCTAGTACAAAAGAAAAAAAAAAGGCAGAGTGGTGGTGGTGACTATTTTTCTCTGTGTAAGCTACATAGGTAACAGATTCTATCTCACCACAATAATTTCTGGTTTGTTTTTTCCATACCATATCCTAATTTTTTAAAGAACAAGCAAAGTCACCTCCCTTATGAAAGAGCTCATTTTTCTTGTAATCACATTACCTTCTCCCATGTTTATTTCAAAATATTTTACTCTACTATTACTTTAAGTTAGGTGACCAACTGCTATTTCTGGGTCCCAGGATCCTATCTTAATCTAGGGCTCACGTGTTCTCTGCCAGCTACTTTAATGTTGCTGCCCCTAAATGGAGGGGGGAATTAAAATAAAATATTGAGGTTATCTTTCTCTATATTTCTTAAATACTTCAATACATATTATAAGGAGCATCATGGGAACACCTGCTACACCCTTCCGTCCAAGGCTAAATTTACACGGGCAAAATGCTATTAAGATAAATATTTCAGCAATGTCCTGCGCTGTGGGGGAGACCCTGGAGATTTCTCAAAGCCTTTGCTACCCATGATATGTTCTTGTCTTCAGGGGGAGGCACTGATCAAACCCTTATGAAATAATTATGCGCGTCCACTGGCAGGGTGTTCGGCTCTCCTCCTCTCGGGTCTTGTTAGCTCCTCTACTAAATCACCACAGCCTTTTTGTCTGTACTAGACAGGTTTCTGCTTTCCTCGGATTGCCTGAAGGCTCTGCTATGATCTGCAGGTCACAGCTTTTGTCTTCAACAAGGAAAAAGTCAAAGACTAAAGAAAAAGGACTGTCCCAGAGCTATTTATGCTTCACTTGGATGCTGGCTTCTGGGCTGACATTGGATGACCTTCACGTGGACCTGATGGCCTGAGGATTTGAAGCGCTTTTGAGTCCAAATGCAGACAGTTTATCCAAGATCCAGCAGAACCCAAATTAATGACATGGCTCTGAAAGAACAGCTGCAGGGACTCTGGTTGTGGTTATTTGTTGGGAAGATGGTTGATAACTATTTATTATTAGTCTACTTTAATAGACCTGGGAGGAAATTCTTTCTCTTTCTTCTTGAGCTGTTTCTAATCCTCAGTTTGGTACATCAGACATTTGTAAACTGAAATGAAACATTTTATTTTATTTTTTTTTAAATAAGCACTCTACTGACTAAGCTATATTCTCAGCCCTGATCTGAAATCTTTTTCTTTTTTTTTAAATTTTTTATTTATTTTTTAGTTTTCGGCGAACACAACATCTTTGTATGTGGTGCTGAGGATCGAACCTGGGCTGCGCTGTCAGGCGAGAGCGCTACTGCATGAGCCACATCCCCAGCCCCTGAAATGAAACATTTTAAATGGTATCTGAATCTCACTGCCCCCTCACGGATTTAGAAACCAATGCTTTCACAGAAGCTCCTTACTTTCCAAAGCAATATAGTTATATGTGCAGGTTCAAAAGAATCTGGCCACTTTTTTACAAGGATATAATTGGACAAAACAATTGTGAGCCAGGTGTGATGGTGCACACCTGTAATCCCAGCTACTTGAGGCTAAGGCAGGAAGATTGCAAGTTTAAGGTCAGCCTGGGTGAATTAGTGACATGCTGTCTCAAAACAAAAAATAAAACAGGGATTAGAGATTATTCCAGTGGTAGAACGCTCCTGGATTCCATTCCAAGTACCACCAGAAAAAGGAAAAAAAAAAAAAAAAGTATTGTGTAACGAAGGCCCTACCTGGGGTGTCACTTTATAAAATGATCCTCATTTAATCAGGTATGAGCAAAGACCTCTCAGGAAGCTGTTTTGGAACCAAATGAGAAGGAAGGTCACTTCCTGGCAGAAAAACCGGGGACTTCGACAAGAAAGGAAGCCACTTAAATCTATAGGTGCCATCTGCTGGAGAGAGTGTCTTGGGTGTGATTTCCTACCTTAGGATTCAAGTAGGATGACAACCCTTCCCAGGTTCCCCAGGACTTTCCCAGTTTTAGCATGCAAATCCCATATTCCAGGCACCCTCAAAGTCCTTGGAAAACTGGGACAGCTTGTCACTTAGAAGGGCAAATTACAGAGGTTTTTAATGTCCAACCTACGATTTCATATCAAAACTTCTGAACAGAAGCTAAAATGGGCCTAATACTACCAAGTCTTGATTTTGCCAAAAATTTAATTTAATTCATACTCTTTTTGCACATGTGCAAATAATAAGACCAAACCCAGTCAAATCTTTCATACATCAAGAAAAAATTAGGATATTATTTTCAATCAGAAAAATTATCTGAAACTTGGAAATAAGATAAAAAGGTAGGAGCTGGGGTTGTGGTTCAGGGGCAGAGCACTTGCTTAGCACGTGTGAGGCACTGAGTTCGAGCCCCAGCACCACATAAAAATAAATAAATAAACTTTAAAAAAAAAGACAAAAGGTAGGAAGCACATCTTTTCCATATTACATAGAGGCGAAGACTACATGCATTGTCTAAACCAGAGAAGGGATTTAGATCATTGTATTATTTATCTATAATTAAAAGTCCCTGATAGGACTGGGGTTGTAGCTCAGTGGTAGAGCATTTGCCTTGAATGTGTGAGGCACTGGGTTTGATCCTCAGCACCACATAAAAATAAATAAAATAAAGATATCGTGTCCATCTACAACTAAAATAAATAAGTAAATAAATATATATATATATATCCCTGACTAAAGTTACTTGCCACCTGGAAGATTTTTATCCAGGGAAAACAGAAAGAATTTTTATCCAATAGAACAAAAACCCCAAAGATTTATGGCCTGTTAGACATTAGCTATGTTTAACACTGAACTCAGCAATCTTAAACACTTTTCTGTCAAATTGCCTATAAATATCCTATTGCTCAAGGGCTCTTTGAATGAGTCAAAACATCTTTCTGTTTCCCTCATTAATTAATAATGATAAAAGTAAACTAGACAAGACCTTTGATAAGTATTGATTTCATATTTACTCAAGTCATTTTTTTTTCTTTTTACCTTTTTGAGAATCACATTTCAATATTCACACCTTACTGTGGCCTTGAAGGTCAGTTCTGATGGGGAAAGGACAAAAGTACCAGCATAGAAGAGCAGGCCCCTTGAGACTCTAGCAACCCATACCAGGCCCTTTTGCAATGAATGAGGAGAAAGCAAATTAAAATCAGTCAATCTCGGTCTGGGCCGTAGCCCAAGACTCCTTACTGGAACACACAACCATGGCTGATCTTATATTAAAGTCTATAATCATCACCAGGAGCAGTGGTGCCTGTAATCCCAGCAGCTTAGGAGGCTGAGGCAGGAGGATCGAGAGTTCAAAGCCAGCCTCAGCAACTCAGTGAGGCTCTGAGCAACTTAGCAAGACCCTGTCTCAAAATATAAAAAAGGGCTGGGGCCGGGTGGCGAACCAGTCTCCGGCACCATGTCTGGTTTGTCTGGCCCTGTAGCCCAGAGTGGCCCCCACCCCCGTTGGCATTGCTGTTGGCATTAATGCTCGGACCCAGCTGGGTCCTCGCCATCTCTTTCCATCTGCCCGTTAACTCCTGCAAGTGTCTCCACGAGGAGATCCACAAGGACCTGTCGTGACGGGCGCCTAGGAGATCACCGACCAGTCTGGGGGCGCTGGCAGCCTGCGCACCCACCTCAAGATCACAGATTCTGCTGGACATATTTTATACTCCAAGGAAGATGCATCCAAGGGGAAGTTTGCCTTTACCACTGAAGATCATGACATGTTTGAAGTATGTTTTGAGAGCAAGAGGACAGGGCGGATCCCTGACCAACTGGTGATCCTAGACATGAAGCATGGAGTGGAGGCGAAAAATTATGAAGAGATGGCAAAAGTTGAGAAGCTCAGACCATTAGAGGTGGAGCTAAGATGCCTAGAAGACCTTTCAGGATCTATTGTTAATGATTTTGCCTACATGAAGAAGCGAGAGGAGGAAATGCGTGATACCAATGAGTCACCAAACACTGAGTCCTGTACTTCAGCATCTTTTCACTGTTCTGCCTTATGGGACTAGCCACCTGGCAGGTCTTCTGCCTTCGTCGCTTTTTCAAGGCCAAGAAGTTAACTGAGTAATGAGACCAAATCTCCTCCTCCCTCGTGAATCTCAGCCAGCAGAGCATCGCTGGGACGCGCCTGACCTAAGGCATCCTATCAACAGCAGCACCATGAAGGCACACTGAAGCTTTCTTGCCAGAACAGATCTTTTTTGGGAGGACTTGGGGTACTACCTACACTCAACAAGTCAATGAGGGGCTTCTTTTTAACTCGGGAGGATTTGGACTGGTTTTGCAACAATAGGACTAGTATTAGAGTCACCCGGGACAAAAAATAGGGGTTACCTAGATAATGCCAAAGTCAGCATTGGTCTTGGGTTTCCTCCCGTGATCTACGTGAACCATGTTTGCTTTCCTTCTCCCACTTGCTCAGCAGCTTGGGCTTTCACTCTAGTTCTTTCACCAAGATTTGTATGACCATGTTGAACTTGTTTCATTCTCATTGTCCTCTTTGGGTTTCCTTCTAAAAACATCCTGGCCCTTAGCGGAAATGTTTACAAGATTCTCTTATAAGAGTCGTGAAGGTGATACCTTATAAAAGTGAGCTCAGAACTGTAGATAACTTCTTAAAAATTTTTTTCATTTTAGACAATTAAAATATTTGTGCTCAATAAAATAAAATAAAATAAAAAATAAAAAAGGGCTGGGGATGTGGTTCAGTGGTTCAGTGCCCCTGGGTTCAATCCCTGGTACCTAATAATAATGATGATAATAATAATAATAATAATAATAATAAAGTTTATAGTCATCAATCTGGTTTGATTTCCAGGGTTCTGACTGCTCCCCAAGAAAAACTTTGCTGCATAACAGGCCTGAAATTATACCACTGGCAAATTTCTCCTCTGGTTTAAAATCCTCTCCTTTGTTAAAATGCAAATGCTCCTGGAAGAGGGCGCCCCAGGAAGCCTTATCAGTCCTTTCCATGTGGGTTTAAACAAAGCCCTAGTCTTTTCTGAGCTGCTGGGACAGCAGGTTTCCCGAGTCTGCAGAAGAGGGACTCAGGAGTTAGGGTGGGGCCTTGAGCTCACCGCCAGGTCCTCGCGTGTGACAAACCCCCTCTCCTGGGCTCCACAGTCCTGGAAGAAGGCCTGCAGTTCCGCATCTGCCTGGGCGGACCAGGCCTCTGGCTCTGGGGCTACCGGGGCATCCTGGCCATCAGCTGGCTCTCTGGTCTGCCGTCGCCGACTGGAGCCCAACCTCCGGCCTTTCCGAGGTATTTTCTGTCCATTTTCCATGGCGCCTTGGACCTGGGGACCGAGGAGAATTAAGTGGGCACTGGGCTGCGAAGAAAATCAAAACCCTCTCGTGTCTCCCCATCACCCCTGCAAAAAACTCCACCATCGCCCATGAGCCCTGCCTGGTCCGTCCCTGGCTGGGCCCTCTGTCCTTTTCCCCCATCGTCCCTACCTCTTGCTCAGGGCCTGGCCTGGAGTGCGTTTCCCCAGCTCTCCACAGGTCCCCATGAAACTCTTCTTTCGCCACCCTATAAAATGGCCCCAGGCAGTTGTCCTAGGAGAAGGTCACCTAGTGTCTGCCCAGACTTGTTGTCAAAGGACAAGTTCTGTCTCCTGCTGCTCTGCCAGCTCATCTCTGCACACCCTGGCAGCATCCAAATGACTGCTCTGGCCCTCTCCCTCCCTCAGCCTCCCTCTCCAGCTCTCCTCTCCTCCTTTGACACACGCATCGCATCGTGAACCCATGTAGCAAAGCGTGCCACCTGACACACACCCCTCTTCCTTCCCTCCTCACACCCTCGTGATCCATGGGGACCCTGAGGAAAAACTGGTGGCTCCAGGAATGTCAGATTCTCCCACTCCCAGCTCCCATTGCCCCAAATCTCTCTCAATGCTCTCATCCCTGGTCTAGCTCATACCCTCCCTACCTCAGGAAGCCTTCCCTACAGTCACCCTCGTGCTTCAGGCTCAGTGTCCCCTTATCTGTGACCTGCTATGGTTTGATTGTGTCCCCAAAAGTTCATGTGTTGGAAACCCAACCCTCAGTGTGGCAGTGCCGGGAGGTGGAGCCCCACGGGAGGTGCTCGGGTCATGGGGCTCCATCCTTCAGGATGGATTCAGGCTGTCATTGCGCGAGCAGGTCTGTTACTGCAGGAGTGGGTTCCTTAGGAAAGGGTGAGTTCAGGCCCCTCTTGCTCCCTCTTGCCCTTCTGCCTTCCACCATGGGATGATGCGGCAAGAAAGCTTTCCTCAAATGCCAGGGCCTTGATCTCCTAGATGTCTGTGCTTCATACATTACTCAATCTGTGCTATTCTGTAAGACAGTCCCCTGACGCCTGGGATTCCTCTGGTAGGGACGTCTCTGTGCATCTCAGTCTACACCGATCCTAGAACCTTAGTGCATAGCAGGTGCTCAGACATGAATTGTCAAATTCATTCACTGGGGCCCCTTCATCTGTTGCTAAAGGCCTTAGTTCAGTCAGTTGACAAGAATTTTGAGATAAACGTCCTCTGATAGAGGACCCCAGGGTAAGGACAAGGGACGCTGGGCCTGCCCTCAGGGCAGTGAGTCTAGAGCACCCGGAGCTGTCGAGAATGGGAAGACGCTGATGGGCACTTAGGGTGGCTTCTGCAGGGAGTGGGACGTGAGCAAGTTCTCAAGGAGGCAGGTGGGATTTGGAGGCTGCAGAACCTGTCTGTGCTGTGGAGGGAGGAGCCTGTTATGACCTGGGTCTGGAACATCCTCCAAAGGCTCGGTGTGTCAAAGGCGTGGTCCCCAATGCACCCACGTTGAGAGGCATTGACTCATGAGGACTCTGGATTAACCCTTTGGTGGTTCTAATCGAACAGACTATTAGGAAGGGGTGGGAACTGCAGGAGGCGGGGCCTAGTTGGAGGGAGCAGGCCATTGGGGGGCGTGTCCCGGAGGGGGTCCTCTTGTCCTGGGCCCCTCCCCCAGTCCAGCCCCCATTTCTCCACCTCGCCTTCTCCACCGTGATGCTCCGAGCCAGTTGGCCACGGCCTAAAACCTCTATAAAGCCACGAGCTTACAAAAATCTCTCCACTAAGTTGTTTTTCTCAGGTATTTTTTCACAGTACCCAAAAGCTGACCGACACAGGGCCAAAGGCTGAATGGAACTGTCCTAGGGCTCTGCTTCAGGGACAATGGGCTCATCCAGGGGGTCGGGGCCATTGATGGAGGCTCAACAACTTAGGGAGGTCCTGCCTCAAAATTAAAAATATACTGGAGATGCAGCTCAGGGGCAAAGCACCCCCGGGTTCAATCGCCAGGGCCTGCCCCTGCCCCGTATTCAACATTCAAGGGACTGAAAGAAATGACACCTAGCCAGGCGCCGTGGCTCGCCTGTAATCCCAGCGGCTCGGGAGCCTGAGGCAGGAGGATCTTGACCTCAAAGCCAGCCTCAGCTACTTAGCCAGGCCCTGAGCACCTTAGTGAGACCCTGTCTCAAAAAACCAGGTGGGGGGCTGGGAATGTGGCTCAGCGGTTAGGGGCTCCTGGGTTCAATCCCTTTATATCCCCAATATAAAGAAATGACACTTAAATACAACTTGTGGTCCTTAGGTGGATTCCTCTTCAGGACAGGCCTGGAAATAGGGGTGTTTTGGGATCAACCAGGGAGATGTGAGCATGGCCGGGTTAAGCTGATGTTGGGCGCAGTGAAGTCTCCTGGGCATGATGAAGACGTGGCCGTCATGCTGGGGACTCTCCTGTCCTTTAAAGGCAGGGGATGAGGTGTCTTGAACTCACCTTTAGAGGTGACTCTAAACAAATACATAACAAATGAAAAAGGTGCGTGGTGGAGGGGACGTGCAGAGAGCTACGGGCAGAGTCAGCCCTCAGCACAGCGCCGCCCGCTGAGCTATTTGATCAACTCTTCTTAATAAAAAGCCAAAAAGACTAGCCAGGGTCTAGAATAAGGAAGTCCCTCTGTTAATCTGACCACACTTCACCTAGTATTTCACAACCACAAACTGTCCCGTGGAAACAATGATGAGGTGCACATCCCACCTTGGGCCACATCCGTCAACACCCAGAAAGCCACTGTCCATCTCTGTTCACTGTCCCCCTACAAGGGGGACCATGTGGCTCTCCAGGGACTAGTGGAGCTTATCCTGGCACCTCTGGGTTATAGTTAAAGAAAGACTCACTGAGCATCAGTATCAGAAGAGAACCACTTTCTCTCTCTAGACCAAGAGATGTGGTAAAGGCGGCCACAGAGAGGGAGTGGCCTCTGGTCATACTGCTCAAAAGTCACGCAGACCTCTGACCTTCCCAGCTCTGCTGCTCATTTGCTGTGCAGCCTTGGGCAACTCACTTAGCCTCTCTGTGCCTCAGTTTCCTCAAAGGATTAATATCTACCACATCGAGACGCTGTGAGGATTAGATGATTGGAATGGCAACACTATCTCCCATTCCTCAGCAGCGCCCACCTCCCTGTTCACCTTGACTTTCTCTTAGCACTTGTCACCATCTCAGAATAGTCTCTTACTCTTTTATTTTATAAATTTCCATTTCCGTTTACTGAGATACATGCCTTCTGTGAGTAAGGATTCACTCTTGGCCACCGCTCCATCCCAAATGGCTAGATCAGCGCTTGGCATACAGTTGGTGCTCAGCAAATATTTGTTGAATATGTAATCCACGTCAAGCTCTTTTGTTCGGCACACAATGACCCTGGGTGAGGTAGTGCTGACATTGACGGGGGTGAAATCCTATTTGAGTTGTAGAAAAGCCAGGACGGGTGCAGGGTGACTTCTCCCCATTGCTCAGGTGGAGAAGCAGAGGCCTCAGCCGCCCTGAGCTGGCAATAGATTCTGCACTCCGGCCCCCTCTTGGGATGAGCTTACCCAAGACATTTACTTGGAGCAGGCAGAGGCCCCTCTGGGGGTCACAGACGCCGGCGGGCAGTGCTGGGAGGGACAGGGGCTGCAGAGCGGGCCAGATGTGGGCTGGCTGTGCTCGTGTGGTGTCACTCGGTCTCGGTACTTGGACACTCAGAGCCGCTCACGTGGGCTTCCGGCGGCGGAGATAAGGGGCAGGGAACAAGATAAGCTTCCAGTGTGGAGGCCTCCGACCCAGTGCCAGGCTGGGAGGTCACCGACGTGGCTGCCGTGTCCCGGGACTGTCAGGCTCCCACCCTGAAGGACGTCAGAGCCCTGAAATAAACTCCCTGCAGCCACGTCCTAGGGCCCAGGGCACCCTTGACGTCACTCCTGGGGGCTCCCAGCCACACGGCACCTCTGCGGCCCTCTCCTGCAGTCTCCCCGCATCTCCTGGGACCCCTCATGGCCCCACCCTGCAGGGGCCTTCAGTGTCCCCCTCTCAGCCTGTCCCCTCCTTGTCTGTCAGGTGGCCTGGGGCAGGAAGTCAGCAGATGCCCCACAGTCAGCCGCCTCAAAGTCATCAGATCACTTGTCCCCATATGTCCCTGCTCACGTTCAGATCAGCCACAGGCCCCCAGGGCCTCGCAGCACAAAAACAGCCCATGTCCCCTTTGTGGCCACTCTGTGACAGCAGGGACATCCCTGAGTCCACCCACAGTGTGGGCACACATGCACCCTCCCAGGCCATCGTCACCTCCCTCCCCCCACGCGGCTCTCAGTGGGACACAAACCCTTCCTGAGCTTGGCTGGGCAAAGGTCCCCCCCATGGTCCGTGACTCAGAACCCCTCCCTTGAGTCAGCCAGCGGGGGTGGCCCTAGGCCAGCACCCTCCTCCACAGTGCCCTCGGGGACCCTGGGATCCACACCCTTAGCCGTCAGAGAGCTTGTGGCCAGGGACAGTCACTGTCCCCCAACTCCAGCGCCTCTCCCCACACTGCTCACCACAGGGACCACACCAGGTCTGCAGCCCAACACGGGCGCCTGCCTGTCCCACGCCCAGGGACCCCACAGGAGCCAGCTCCCCATAGCGGGGCTCACTGTAGACTCGGGGCGGCAGGCCCCACAGGCTGTCCACCAGGAAGTGGGGACACCCCACCAAGGAAGGGCCAGGGCAGCGGCAGAGGGTAACATGGCACTCGCAGAGCCCTAGGCTCCCCATTGCCACCGGCCTGGCACAGAGGGGCCTGAGCCTGGGTGTGCTGCCCACGCCACCAACTCAGTGACGATAGTCCTGACAGTCACCGAGCCCAGAGTGCCCAAGCTGGGCCCAGAGAGCACCCGGGGCCTTCTCCAGCCTACTTACCCTCAGGAAGGGACGAATCCGGCCGCCTGCCCAGGACCACCAGCCATTAGGGGTAGGTGACCCTCCAGCCTCCCGCCCGGTGCCCTACGTCACACCATGACCTTGGCCCCTCGCCATGAAGACAGACTGGGCTTGCGCCTCCTGCCCACCCTCAGCCCCCAAAGGAAAGAAGCCTCGCACCACAGGGTGGCCCCCACCTTCAAAGGCTCCCCGCTGCAGCCCGGTGCTCCTGGACTTGGTGACAGCGCCCTGCCGCCCTGCAGAGCCCACGCCTGGGGACTGTTAACAGTCTTGTCTCTTGCTTAATCACTCCTTCCGCTCCCAGCCGGCCAATCTCCTGTGGTCACCTGTGGAACTTCCTGCTGAAGCGACCCCTGACTGCCCCTTCAAAGTCTTTTTTTTTGCTTTTTAGTAACAGGGAACACTTGAACTCAGGGGCACTCGACCACGGAGCCACATCCTCAGCCTGTTTTTGTATTTTTTCAGAGACAGGCTCTCACTAAGTTGCTTAGGGCCTCGCCATTGCTGAGGCTGATCTCAAACTCACGATCCTCCTGCCTCAGCCTCCCTAGCCGCTGGGATCACAGGCATGCGCCCCTGCACCCAGCCCTTTTTTATTTTTATTTTGAGACAGGGTCTTGCTAATTTGCTAAGGCTGCCCTTGAACTTTCAATCCTCCTGCCTCAGCTTCCTGAGTAGTTGGAATTATAGGCATGTGCCACCATGCCTGACTAAATATGATCTCTTAGATGGGCACCTTCTTGCCTAAGAAAATACTGGATTTTCTGTTTGTTCTTGTTTTGGGGGAGCTTTACCACTGAGCCCAGCACTTTTTAATTATTTATTTTTATATTTGAGACAGGGCCTCACTAAATTGCAGAGGCTGGCCTCAAACTTGCCATCCTCCTACCCTAGCCTCCCAGTCACTGGGATCACAGGCGTGCACCACTGAGACTGGCTCAGTTAGTACTTACTGAGCGCTACTCTGTGCTGGACACTGTGCTGAGCATGGAGGCTACCAAGGTGGGAGAAAAACCTCAATAACATTAAGTTCAATAGTGACAAGGACTGCGAAGAGAAGTAGAGCGAGTGAAGGGGTGGAGTGGTGGTGGGAGGTGCCTTTAAACGGGTGGTCAGTGTCTCTTCCGGGGACGGTGTCTGAGCCTCTCAGAAGGGCCTAGCACTGGACACACTGTCGTAGGCTCTCCTACTCTACAGCCTCCAACAGGAGTTGGCTGCCCCGACCCTTAGGTGATAGGATCATTTACCTTTATACCAAGAAGGTTGACAGAGCACCAATGTCTGCATGTGGTGCAGCTGGACAGACCAGCTGGACAGACCAGCTGGAGGGGCCCGTGCTGAGACCTCAAGTTCTTATGCGTTCTCAGAACGTGTCTGTGACAGCTGAAGTTACTCTCCTTAACAAGGAGCAGAAAATTGTTGAGAGGGTTGGAGGCACAAGCAGAGTCAGAAAGCTGAATTGAAAAAAAAAACAAAATGAAGCTTCTTTTTTTTTTAATTTTTATTGTTGGTTGCTCAAAACATTACATAGTTCTTGACATATCATATTTCACACTTTGATTCAAGTGTGTTATGAACTCCCATTTTTACCCCGTATACAGATTGCAGAATCACATCAGTTACACATCCATTGATTTACATGTTGCCATACTAGTGTCTGTTGTGTTCTGCTGCCTTTCCTATAAAATGAAGCTTCTTGACTGAGGAGGCAACGTTGGAATCAAACATGTGAGGAAGGAGATCCGGAAAGAGTGTTCAACCGTGAGTGCAAAGGCCCTGAGGCAGGAGCATGCTTTGTGTACCTGGAACAGGGTGACAGCATGACTGAAGGAAGAGGGGACAAGATCGCAAGTAACAGGTGTGACCTAGAGACCATGTGAACACCTGGGTTTTTATTATGAGATGGAAGCCATTTGGAATGTGACATGATCCAACTTGGTTTTTTGTTTTGGTACCAGGGATGGAACCGAGGGGTGCTCTACCACTGGGCCACATCTCCAGCCCTTTCCATTTTTTTTTAAATTTTGAGACAGGGTCTCACTAAGTTGCTTAAGGCCTTACTAAATTGCTGAGGCTGGCCTCAAACTTGCAATCCTCCTGCCTCAGCCTCCTGAGCTGCTGAGATCACAAGCGTGCAACACCCCACCCAGCTTTTTTTTTTTTTTAAGATGATAAGGAAGACTTTATTCAAAGAGGGCTCTGGTGATGGGTGAGGGACCGTTACCATGGGGTCTTGCAGTGGGGGAAGAGATTGGATTCAGCTCTCCCAACTTAGAGTTTAAAAGGATCCCGCTTCCGTTCTAACAAGAGACCATAGACAAAGGCAGAAGCAGGGAGGCCAGTGAGGAGGTGATTCCACTCATGCAGACAAGAGGTGATGGCTTGGACAGGAGGACAGTGGTGGACGAGGTTGACCCTGGGTATATTTTGAAAGCCGGGCCAGCAGGGTTTGCTGAGGCATTGGGACAAATGCAGCCAGCCCTCCTGTTCTGTGAGCACCGGGTGAGAGCTGGGTTCTTCAGGCCCAGCCTCCCCGCTCAGCTCAGCCGCCCTTGCCAATCCTTGGCATCTGTCCCAGGGTGACAACCTCTGTAGGCTGAGCCCACCGGCTGGACAGACCAAGTGCTAGGAAACAATGTCAGGTCCTGGAGCTTTTGGATTCGGTGGAGCCAATTTTAAAATCCAGAGTCACTGGACTTAAACGCACTGAGCTCGGAAACTAGGTTTTACAAAATAGAACGTGAGCAAGGGTCAGAGGCGCGAGACCATTCCACAATTAGGAAGGTCTTCACGCCCAGTCCCCTACCTACAGCTGCTTGAATTCACGTCACAGTTTGGCAAATCCCAAAGCAAGGCATCTCTGTTTGGGGGTTCAGTGGTGAAAGCTGGGATAAAGCTAGGGAACCCTGAGATTCCGGCCTCCAACGTCTCTCTAGCAGGAGCTCAGGCAGGTGGAAGGGTCACGGGAGACCTGGGCTAGACAGCTGGATTCGAAGCTGTATTGGTGAGGCACTTTCCGGAAAATTGAGAAAATCTGAGTTACAACAAAGACTGAGGAGTGGCACTGAAGGGCACTGGTCCCCACCAGCCTCCTCCTAGAATCGTAGTCTAGCACTTCTCCTTTCTGGTTTATCAGACAGGCAGTGTGACCTGCAAACCTCACCGTGGGGCTCCTGGCTCCTCACCACTTCCTAGGGGCGTGACCTCAGGCCAGTGACTTTATCTTGTTGCCTCAGTTTCTTCATCTGTAAAATGGGGTTGGTGACCGTGCCCATGTTGGAGGTTTGTTATGGAGATTAAACGATAGGCACCACGTAAAGCATTTGGACCGGTGTCAGGCAGATGGTAATCGATGTTAGCTGTCGTTATTTGTGCAATTGTTGAGAGGAGACTGAGTGAGATTCTTCGATGGCTCCCTCCTACCAATCTACACACGGCCTGCTTATAAGTTAAGACTGATTGTCGAGTGGTGAGGGGCAATGACCTGAGCCCTGGGCCTGGGAGCTAGGATGGGGCTGGGTAGGGTCAAGGAGTGGGGCTGGATTTGGAAGACCAGTGCTCAGCTCAAGAAGGAAATTCAAGCAACGGTGAATCATTCCTTCATTCAACAAATATTTATTAAACACAGTGTGGCGCCCACGATGCACCAGGCGCTGGGGTACTGCAGAGAACAAAATGGGCCAAGACCAGCTTTCAGGAAGCTCACAGTCCTGTGGGGTAGGTGGCAAGGGGTAAGCCACAGGGACTTTGTGCCCCTACGTTCACCCCAGCACTGGGCGCGCTGACGGTTAGTAACAGAAGCCACGGTTGGCGCCTCACCCCGCATCCTCCAGGACCACGTCTGTGTTCGCCTGGGGCGTTGGTGGGGCAGGGGCTGGAGCTGGTCGTAGAGCACTCGCTTGGCGTGTATGATGCCCTGGCTTCTATTCCCAGCACCAAAAAATGAATTAAATTTTTTAAAAAAAGAAACTCATCAATAATGACAAATACATTCTTTTCAATCTGTATCAGGAAAGAAGATAAAAAATGTCCACATTCACATTCTTTACCAAAATTTAGAGATCCATCACCTTAGTTAAGTGATTAAATGAATTGGGACATTGTCTGTAGTGAAGGGCAACTTATATCTTGTACCTCCAACTGCTTTTTAATTTGGATTTTGGAGGTTGTACGATAAACACCCTCTGGCCCATTTGGTGGAAGACTTGGCTAGCGGCCACATTTGGGTGGAATCCAGAGCAGGAGAGGGCTCCGTGATGGGTGAGGCTGGGCAGAAGCACTTGGGTCACACAGCCCAGCACATCTCCTGGTCCTGAGCATAGCTATGGGAGGAGACCGAGAAGTCTGGAAGCCCCAGGGTGGGGCCGTCTCATCCCAGGCTTCTGGTGCAAGGCCCTGCCCTGGACCATGGGAACAATCAGCCTCTCAAAGGTAGCTCTTGGCCGACACTAAAAGGTAGCTCTTGGCTGAGCTGCAGAACCAGAGCAAATAAAAGACTATTGTTTTAAGCCACTAAGTCTTAGGGTGGTTGATTATATATAGATGATCAGAGCGTGCATGATACAGTACTTGGTTCTTTTTAATATTGTATGATAATTCACTGTACAAATATACCAAAATTTACAGGTCTATTCTTTGTCATGGACCCTTCAGTTATTTCTAGTTTGGTCTATTACAAATAATGCTGCTAGGAACATTTTGTACATCTGTAGTGGAAATGTGTGCTCATAGAGAACAGACTTAGAAGAGACCATAAGAGTGTTTTTTGTTTTTGTTTTTGCAGTACCCCATGCGAGCCAAATGCTCTACCACAGAGCTACACCCCAAGCCTATTTCAACTACTTTGGAAAACTAAAAACCCAGCACAAGAAAAAATTCTATACTTCCATCAGCAAATTATGCTTTCCAGTTTCTCCAAATGTTTGACAATACTCAACGTTGTGAGACCTTTTAGTTTGATACTTTCTTGCAAGTACATAGTGGTATCCTATTTTGTGTGCGTGTGTGTGCGTGTGTGTGTGTGTGTGTGTGTGTTTTGTATCCAGGGTTGAACCCAGGGACACTTAACCACTGAGCCACATCCTTAGCCCTTTTTTATATTTTATTTAGAAACAGGGTCTCACTGAGTTACTTAGGGCCTTGCTAAGTTCCTATTGGTTTTTTTTTTGGTAGAGATTAAACCCAGGGTGCTTAATCACTGAGCCTCCACAGCCCTATTTTGTATTTTTTCATTTAGAGAAAGGGTCTCACTGTGTTGCTTAGCGCCCCCGCCCCCCCAGGCTGCCTTT